CTGATGATCCTATCGAAGGGTTGAGTTTTGCGAAAAACTTCTGGTAGTGGTTGAAGAAGATAACAGTATTCTTGATAAAATCATTTGGACAAATGAAGCAATTTTCAAACTTAATGGACACATCAACAGACATAAATTAATTTACTGGGCACCTGAAAATCCTGGAATCGATATCGAAAGAGACTTCAACATGCCTGGTATCTCTGTTTGGATAGGCCTGTCATTGTATGGTGTTATTGGTCCATTTTTCTTTAGTTCCACTGTGACTGGTAAGAGCTACGTAGAAATGTTACAGGATCATTTTCAACCTGCAATCGCTGACTGGCCCGATTTGAACGAATTCTGGTATCAACACGACGGTGTCCCGGCTCACTACAGCCGGATTTCTCGTGAATATTTGGACGAGATTTTTCCTGGCATGTAGATGAGTTGTCGTGGCCCAGTCGAATGGCCTCCCAGATCGTCCGATTTATCGCTACCCGATTTTTTTGCATAGAGTGTTGTCAAAGACGCAGTTATTCAAAGAAGCCAACGTCGATTGATCAATTGCAAAACGAGATTGTTAACGCGTTTCAACAGATTTCAATCGACTTGTGCAAGAAAGTCTGTCGGTCCGTTGAATCCCGCCTTCACAAGTGCATTCAAGCTGACGACTTGCATTTCGAACAAGACTATTAACTGATCAAAATATGTATCACTTTGAATAAAACATTATTCGATATAGATGCTAAATTAGAAATGAAGAGATAACAGAAACTAAAGTTGTCAGCTATTAAAGATTGTTGGATGATTTTTCGGTCACTCTACCCTATATTGTCTTCGCAGAACTACCACTGTTTTTTCGAAAATCACTAAGCGATTATTTTGTGATCAACCAACAATGTTGAATAAGATATGGAACTATGCAGTGAAACATTCTCTCTCCAACGCTGAAAACCGCAGTGCTCCATCTTATTCCTATCAAAAGTTATTCGCAATTTAAGACTAGTAGGTAACTTTTGAACCACTCTGTATATTTATATTCTAATCACTATAGTCGCCCCGTGTGTTTCTACTGTTTCTGCTAGCGTACCTAAAGAAATTGTCCTTATGTCTGTTATTATATGAGTGCTAGTTTTTCTCGTTGCAAGATCACGAGGGTATGATTGTTGTCCTTCTTCTAAGTTATTTCCGCAGGCATTCGTTGGATCTATTTCAGGATTTGTTAGAGGTCTATTTCCTAGAATTGAATGTTTTCTACTGTATAACCAATAAACAGCTTGTCCAATAGCAAAATTCCAGCAAACAAATTGAACTTTCGTCCATTTCGTGGTGGACCACATTAGAAGTAGACACATAAGAATACCTACAATTGGGCAGATAAGTGTTCGGCTAGGAAACGTAAAACGAGTATTGATATATTCCATGGCTAGTGTTTCGGTACTATGGCTTGGATTGGATGCAGTTTCGACATCCTGTGTACCTTTCACTTTTTCCTGTGGTTTGTATGTCCAGTGCATGATAATAATACTAATATGGACCATAATGAATGCAAAAAGTGCGCCAATGGATGCAGCCTCGACCAAAAAGTTGATAGGAAGAAACCCAGCAGCTGCTGCACAACAACCTCCTAAATAAAAATAATCAAGAACGAATAAATTCTAGGAAAGTGTAGAAGTTTTTCTCCTAACCTGTTATAATGGTAGCCCACACTGGTGAGCCAGCTGGTTTATTTGCCTCCTGAATCTCTGCATTGAGTGTTATTGTTCTTCCAGCACTGTAGGTAAACTTGACGGTTGCAATAGCAGTAGTTGTTAGAGAAGAAGAAAAAGCAGTATTGTTCACTTCTGATTTTCTTTTTAGTAAATTTATCTTGCTGAAAACGGGTGGCAGCAGACCGTCTTTTGAAATTGAGTAGAATATTCTTGATTGTCCATAAAGATTGACTAGCATCACCGACATCAATCCAAATATTGCAGCAAGATAAACTAACATTTCTAACCATTTCATATCCAGAGATTGGCACACTTTTCCTATTGGATTTGTTCCTTCCAGATATTTGTAGTTAATTACACCAAGCATAACAGAAGCGATTCCCAGATAAAGAATCATCGCTATGCCCAGAGACGTTAGAATACTCAGTGGTAAACGCTTTGCTGCTTCTTTTGTGGCTTCTTGAGCAGCTGTTGTTATTGAATCGAATCCAATAAAACCAAAAAAACTGATTGTGGCAGCATGAAGCATTCCGTTGATACCGTAAGTGTTTCCACCTTTACTTTTCGGCAAGATTGGATGATAATTTTTCGGATCAATATATTTGATACCAACACAAATAAATGTTATGAGAATAAGAATCTTTGCAATGACAACTATGCTGTTGAGGAGAGATGAAGCACCAACGTCATAAACAATGATAACTGTGAGAGAGAGAATGATAAGAACAGCTGGCAAACATATCCAGCTCTCTTTGACATAAAACTCCTGAGTCGTTACATTCCAATTGACCGGACGTGAAAGCAAATGATGATCAATACTTGTCGAAGAAACTAATTCAATGAATGATTTGAGGTAGTTCGTCCATGCAACTGCAACTGCTGCAACTGCACACATGTATTCCAGGCACAGATCCCAACCAACGAGCCATGCACTCAATTCACCCATCACCGTATATGTGCAAGTATAGCAGGAGCCACTCGCAGGAATCATAGACGCCATCTCAGCATAGGATAATGCTGCCAACAAGGCTGGAATCGCTCCAATCAGCAGTGAGAGAATCTCAGCTGGACCAGAAAAATTTGCAGCAGCATGGCCTACCGTTGTGAAGATACCAGCACCTAATAAACAGAAGAGGAACACTTAAGTTGAAGTTTAATTCGAAGAACGGTTTTGCTTTTTAAGCAATCTTACCAATAATAGCTCCTAATCCTAATGCATTCAAGGTAAAAAAACCCAACAATCGAGTAAGTTCTCCTTCATTTGTTTGAGTTATTATATCTTGTAGTGGTTTTCGCGTTGTTAATTGAGAAATGATTTTTCCGAAGGCAGTTTTATCATTGCTGCTCTTGTCTTCAGGGTTTTTTAATGTCAAACTTTGCCACCACTTTTTAAACATGGTTTCTGGTACTTTAGACACTATTTTGTATTTATAGAACAGAACTCATCTAATGTTGAAAAAAAGAACGACTGATTATAAGGGATAAAAAAGAACAAAGTAGAGAGTGTGATAGCAGTCAGTAATGAGTAATGCAGGATGTTGAATACGATGATGATGATGCTTTTTTTCATCATATTAATCACAACGTCGGGAATTTCTAAGCGATAATATCACGTCCTCCCCTCTTAATATAGAGTAATACACACGTCTGCTAGGTAGGAAGTAGAAAGTATAAAAAAGACAGCATAATAATGTTACTTATCGCGCCCTTCAATGTCACCTTCAAAAATGCTTATATGTAAATATCAAGAGATTATGATATCCAATCATGAAAAAATAACATGAATGCATTTAGTTTATTGCTTCGAGTATCATTATATAGGTATTATGAGAGTGAATACAGAAATAAATAAAAAAGCTTTTAGCGCAATCCCTGCGGGATTAAAAATGTGAAATATGATGGAGCTTTTTATATTGTGAATGAAGGAATTTAGTAACGTATGTCCCAATTTTCAATCACTACGCACTGCTACAGAGAGTGTGAGGAGTAGAGACCAGAGAACTTTCTTAAAATATATCGTTTTTTACAAGAAAAGCAAAATGAAACTTGACTGAAAGTTTAATGAAAGTGATAGCGTTTATAATTGTTCATTTTTCTATGAGAAAATATCTTGTTTTAATATTTTTCATTGCTACAAATAATTCATTTTATACCATTTCTGTCAATTAACTAATGTTTCCACGTTTTCTCATTAGTTGATAACAAGCAGTAGACTTTACTTGCGATACTGCCTCTGTAGCAGTCTGTAATGATCCCGTAGTGATGTCTGCCACGGTCTGTGGCGCCTCGTTACTAAGATGTCTATGACAAGCGGTTGCTAAGGTGTCTGTCACGCCTGTGATAAGCTGTTTCCAACGTGTCTGTCACGTCTGTGACGTGTCGTTGGTAAGGATATCTGGCACGTCTGTGGGGGGGGGGGGGGGGCCAAATTTTTACCCTTTGGGGGGGGGGGGGGGTGGGGGGGGGGGGGGACATGAATGAGTCTCTTCCTTACACTTACACCCACACCCTAATGCTCGTGATCGTGACGTGATCGTGATTATGATTTGAAAACAACTTTGTGATCGGAATTCACGATCATCTTACACTCGTGATCGTGACAGTGATCGTGACCAAAAATCTCAATCACGCAGAATACTAAACAACAGTTTATAGGTGGCACTATTGAATAGTAAAAGCTCTTTTAGTATTATTAATCTCTATGTATAAATTAAAGCCCTGATCGTGATCGTTCGTGATTAGGATTTTTTTTGTCTTCGTGATCGTGGTCGCGCGTGATTAAAAATTTTTTTTGTCGTGGTGATCGTGATCGTGCGTGATTAGAATTTTTTTTCGTCGTCGCGATCGTGATCGTGACTAAAAATATCAATCACGCAGACCACTAGTGGTATTACCAAAATCTATTTCGCAGGCTTTTGAACAGGGTATGTTCGAGTAGTTTTGAAGGATATTCTATGAGCTACTTATACTGAAAAAATGGTGGCGAAGTCTAGTGAAATAATAGAGGTCGAAGTTATACAGGTCTGGCCCGGGCTGCTTATATACCTTCTATGATATGCACGGTAAAATCAATAGGAAAATCACTATTATTAGCAAAACTATAGTCTACATATTTAGTGGACTTTATTACCATCGTAATCATATATAATTAGTGGGTGTTGTATTAGCATTTTCAAATAGGACCGATTTTGCTAGGAAATCCACTCCCCGTTCTTTATTAAATAATTTTAGTACAACATCAAAAGCTTTGACAAAATTAATTCAATTCTCTTTCGATATTCTTAGTTTTTCCTTTCTTGATATATATTAAGTATTTTGTTGAAGAGTTTCGGGTTTAATTCGATTTTTTTTATATTCATAAAGTTTAGCAAAAATAATTGCTAAACAACGAGTTATAAGAACTAATCCACCATAAAGAGAAATGAGAGATATTATTGTTTGAGTTACATCATGAGTTTTAATATAAGAATATGAACATGATAATGGTTTACATTGATTAAAATAATTTTCATATGATAAATTACTTTTATACTCTTCAATCATTAAATTATTTAAAATTGATTCAATTGTTGAATCTAAATTAAATTGACTTTTTTCCAACGTTGACATATTTAAACTTGTAAAATCTCCATTTGAATCAATACAATTTTGATCATAAAAACAGTAAAGTTTTGTTTGAAGAATAGATTCAAGTGGATAGCAACCACTCATCATACCTCCTGATGATTGAGTACATTTAAATGATAATCCACAATTACATTCACCATAACTTACAGGTACTGGATGTACAGGTAAATTATTATAAAATGCACTTTCATAAACATATTCCCAATTAGTGCTCCATGTACTCATAATCATATTCGAACCAATTATTTCACGAATTAAATTAAAAGTATTAAGAAATGATTTGGATGTAATTGATTGAAGTCGATTTAGAAGTATTGTAATTTGTTCAATTAAAAGATTCTCAGATAAAAGCTGAGAATTAATAAAATAACTTGTTAGAAATTCCGAAAGGGTATGATTTACTTTTTCTTGACTAAGTTCACAAAGTGAAGAAAGTGAAAGAAATTGTCCAGGAGCTGAATAACGATAATCATCGAATGAAAATCGATGAGAAAGATGACCTTCACCATAAATATAATGAATCCATTCATCAGAAATAAATTGACTTGAACATAAATCATGAAAATGAGGTTCAATATTAAGAAATGTTTCATATGGAATAGATATTTGTGAACAAGAGCATTGAAGAGAATAAGAATGCTCTTGTAATAAATCTTTATAATTTGAAAGTGATGGTTTTATTATATGGACAGTAGCTGATTTTGGTTTAAAAGCAGAAAATAGAAATACTAAATATAATATTAGTAAAAGAAAAATGAAATGAAGTCGATTAATAATACGTTGTTCAGTATTACAAATAAATACGTTTTTTATCATTGTTATAAATCCATTAAAAGAAGTATTATTAATTGTATTCTCAATAAATCGAAGAATAATTAAAGTAAGTAGTTTTAATCCAAGAGATAAACCACCCAAAATACCAAGAATTGTTGTTATAACAAAGAATAAATTATTTCGACTAATAAATTCATATGTACATGATGATGGAGAACATATATTATAATATGAAGAAAACGAAATATTTGATGTCCAAGAATCAATCATAAGTCTATTGATAATTGATCCTATTGTTTCGTTCGATGGACTAAGATTTTCATTTAAATTTGAAAAATTAAAAGATGATCTAAGAGCGTTAATAAGATGGTCATCTAATTCAATCATACATGATAGATTATAAAAACATTCTAAAGTTGATTTCATTAATCCTTCGATTTGGGAACAACCCATAAAAAAATTTGGGACTGTAATAACTGGTATATGATGGTCCGAATAAAATGGATCGTCAGTAAATAAACCGATAGAGAAAAAGCATAATGAAGATAAAGTACAGGAACAATTGGAATATTCTTTTACTTCAAGATTCAATTTTGTATCATTCGGGTCTATATAAGTATAATAATTGAACTGTTCACTTATAAGTTGATTTCCATGTGATACAGCTTGAAATATTTTAATTATTTCTAAAAATTGATTGATATTTTGAGATTTCCAATCATTAATAAATGAATTAACTTTAGTTTCAAATCGATTTTGAGAAATAACTTGTGCAGAAAGAAATTGTGTTTGAAGTAATGTTTCGATGCTAATATTAACACGTAGGATATCTTGGAGCTGGATTCGAGTATTCCGCAACTGGATTCGCCTGTACGTTATACCGAACGGTGAAAAGGGTATACCAAGATAGATCTCGACGAGATCTATCGATTCCACTAATTACTTTTTTTCTAAGACCCCTCCTTCATCGAAAAAAACCAAAAATACCGACAAAAAAATAAGCAAAATAACAAGCGTCTTCTGTAAAGCGCAACTGGATTCGCCTATAGGTTATACCAAAACGAGCAAATGGTATACCAAGATAGAACTCGACGAGCTCTATCGAATGGGCACCTTTCCGGCTCGATCTGATGCTTGGATCCCCTCCGAAACGGCAAATTCTGGCCGAAGTCCGAATTTTTGGGCGATATTTCGCAACTGGATTCGCCTATAGGTTATACCAAAACGAGAAAATGGTATACCAAGATAGCATTCGACGAGCTCTATCCAATGGACACCTTTCCGGCTCGATTCGATACTTGGATCCCCTCCGAAAAGGCAAATCCTGGTCGAAATCCAAATTGTTGGGCGATATTTCGCAACTGGATTCGCCTATAGATTATACCAAAACGCGAAAATGGTATACCAAGATCGAACTCGACGAGCTCTATCGAATGGACGCCTTTCCGACTCGATTCGATGCTTCGATACCCTCCGAAAGGGCAAATCCTGGCCGAAATCCGAATTTTTGGGCGATATTTCACAACTGGATTCGCCTATAGGTTATACCAAAACGAGAAAATGGTATACCAAGATAGAATTCGACGAGCTCTATCGAATGAACACCTTTTTGGCTCGGTTTGATGCTTCGATAAACTCCGAAACGGCAAATTCTGGTCGA